CCCTGATGCTAGCCCACAAGTCCCTGATGCTAGCCCACAAGTCCCTGATGCTAGCCTACAAGTCCCTGATGCTAGCCCACAAGTCCTTGATGCTAGCCCACAAGTCCCTGATGCTAGCCCACAAGTCCCTGATGCTAGCTTACAAATCAGGGTTTCTCCTCTGGATAGCTTATTGTCATAGTGATGAGAAATGGAATATTGGGTCTACTCTGTAAGTCGCTTTGGATAAAAGCGTCTGACAAATGCATAAACATAAACATGTGGTGCGTGAACTCTGACCTTTGTAGAGCTGAGACACTGGTTTGGCCTCGGCTCCGTTGGGGGCACGGATGTAGTTTGGGAACATGTTGGGAACGAACCTGTTAAAAAGCCGAAATTTACAGTCAAACCTTAACTCCAGCTCGTAAAGCATGGAAAGCACCCTGTCGGACTAAAACTCACACAGGCTGGGTGCGATTGCCGACCAGTAGGGACGCCAGGTCTGCTCTGACCGGGTTTCCAGGCTCCAGGTCGATGGAATGCTTGTCAAAGGTGTGTTCCACCGTCCCACCTTTGCCCAGGTCCCTGTCACATATAGCTGATTATTGCGTACAGCTGAAGAAAACTCAAAAATCCGATATTCTAATATTTTGAGATAGGATATTTGGGTTTCTTAAGCTGTAAGCCATAATCAGCGATATTAAAACAATAAAAGGCTTGCGATATTTCAGTTGATTTGTAATGAATCCAGAATGTATGACATTTGATGTTTTTTAATTGCATGACAGAAAATAAAGAACTTTATCACAATATTCTAATTTTCTGAGACAGTCCTGTACTGTCTGCTGGTTATCAGACAGCTGGGTTATGGTTCTAGCTACAGCCTACCTCTGGAAAGTCCAGGCCAGGCGTAGCGTGAGGTCCACCGGACTTTCAAGTAGCTCCTTGATGAGCTCCTGTCTGCTGGGAGGACTGATCCTCCACACGGACCCTGAGCTGCCCTCAATCATGGCCGTCACGATGTCGTCGTAGCTGTAGAGAGTGATGAACTGCATGGCAACCTGAGATGTGACACACAACACAAACACAGCTTCTAAGGCCTGTGTAACAAAAAAGCTTAAGGTCCACTTTTTTGAATTAGCAGTTAATTGGGACTAGGATCTCTTAGGCTTCCTCCTTCTGTCTGCTCCTTTCTACGCACTTCTGGAAGGCTTTTAATGCACCACTACAGCACTTTTAGTTGTTTCTGTATGTTTTGTATGCTTTTTGTATTGTTTTATGGCTTTGTTGTAAAGCATTTTGAGTACCATTCGGGTATTGTAAAGGGCTATACAAATAAACTTGATTGATTGATTGATTGATGTCACAGTGGGAGGGGCCTCTGACGCCCTGTGGTGATGTCACAGTGGGCGGAGCCTCTGTCCTGTGGTGATGTCACAGTGGGCGGGGCCTCTTATGTCCTGTGGTGATGTCCTCAGCCTTTTTAAAAAAAAGCTTAAGACCCACTTTTTTAAATTAGCATTTAATTCGGACTAGGGTCTCTTAGGTTTCCTCCTTTCTGTATGTTTTGTATGTTTTTTGTATTGTTTTATGGCTTTGTTGTAAAGCAATTTGAGCACCATTTGGGTATTGTAAAGGGCTATACAAATAAATTTGATTGATTGATTGATTGATGTCCTGTAACCCTCAGAGGCATACGCACAGCGTTGTTCCCGAAGTCTTTGGTCAGTTGCTCATACGCCGCCTCAGTGAAGGGCTGGATGGACTGCTGCTGCACACTCATGGTGAACAGGGGCTGAAACACAGAACAAAGCATGAAGGTTATGAGTCTTTAAAAGAGAGGCTCCAGAAGACCTGATCCCTGCCGGTCCTCCTTTAGCCAACACGGCTGCACAGCTGGGTGCTACGCTACACAGGGGTTAGGGTTAAGGTTAGGGGTTCAGGTTAGGGGTTAGGGTTAGGGGTTTGGGTTAGGGGTTAGGGTTAGGGGTGAGGGGTTAGGGGTTCAGGTTAAGTTTAAGGGTTTGGGTTAGGGGTTTGGGTTAAGGGTTCAGGTTAGGGGTTCAGGTTAAGTTTAAGGGTTTGGGTTAGGGGTTCAGGTTAGGGGTTCAGATTAGGGGTTCAGGTTAAGGTTAAGGGTTTGGGTTAGGGTTAGGGTTAGGGGTTTGGGTTAGGGGTTCAGGTTAGGGGTTAGGGGTTAGGGGTTCAGGTTAAGGTTAAGGGTTTGGGTTAGGGTTAGGGGTTCAGGTTAGGGGTTCAGGTTAGGGGTTCAGGTTAGGGGTTAGGGTTAAGGGTTCAGGGTTCAGTTTAGGGGTTCAGGTTAAGTTTAAGGGTTTGGGTTAGGGGTTCAGGTT